GCCCCGCTCGCCGCTGACGCGGCCCGGCCGGGCGCGCGGGTCAGCCCTGCGGCCGCCGGTTGCCTCATCCAGTGAGCAAGGATTTCCCCGGGGCAGGAGGAAATGTCAGGCCTGGCGCGGTGCCCCCGCCAGAGCGACCCGCCGGCCTGCGCAGCGCGTCGGGAGCCAGGGTCAGCGTCCTCGTGCCTCAGCGCTCCTCTGCGCTCCCAAATCTCAGAGAGATTTTACAAGCTAAGCCATTTCCCCTCTGTTTATCTCTGCCAGGAAGCCACGCTCATGCAGCCATGCTATTTCTGAGGGGAAAAAAGAGATTTTTGTATCTAAGCTGTCTGTGCTTCATCACTGCAGTGTGTGCATGATGGAGAGATGCCTGCCAGAGCAGGGAGAGAAGGTGCAAAGAGAAACCCGAGGAAGTTGTCGTAAAACTTTCCGTGCCTCGATAACGAAGGCTCCAGTCGTAAAGCTTCGCCCGCCTTGCGAGGCAGCTAACGTGCGGCGGCAGGGCCCGCGCGGCCGCACGGTCTCATTCACACGGGCCGCACGGAACAACCGCTCTGTGTGAACAACACTGGCCGCGCTCCAGCAATAACACAGCTGGTGAAAGAGCTTAGTCACCAGGGCGATGGATGCAGCCCTGCGAGGGAATGTTTGTGTGCAGTAATCTGACATTTAGCTGGCTGGCAGCAGCCTTGCGAGTGAAGTAGAATTAGTGGAGGAGCAGCGGTGATAATCTGGTTTCTGACCATAAGAAATCTCTTGTGTAGAGCGAGCACAAAAGGCGCCTTTTGAAACTTTAAGTGTTACTCTGTTACTGTGCAATTAGATCTTGTTCCTGCCATTGAATCCGAGGAACACTAGGCCCTTCTAGGGGAGGGATGGAGGCCATTTAGCTCACCCGAGCCCTTTCTCCCAAACAGCACCTGTCCTGAGCGCGCTGCCCCATGTGACGTGGTGCTGGTCTGCCTAAGGTGTCCCTGGTAATTGCATTTGTCCTGCCTTTCCCTCCTATGTTGCTGCTGCTTGGACCAAAGCAGCAATCTTTCTGTCCGCAGGCAGCACTCTGCTTACACAGGCTTTTAAGGATTGCTTAAATTGCCGTTCTTACAGCTCGCATTAATCCGTTTGTTCCCATCACTTCAGGCACTTCCATTTCACTCCAGAAATCCGCTGCTGCTTTGCCCTGGCTCTCCCTTGCTGGCACCGTTTGCAGCCGGGTAGCGAGCCGGGCCGCGCGAGCGTTGCGGGAGCCTCGGGCCCGCGCTGGCGAGCTCCAGTGTTCGGAGCAGGGAACAGTCGTCCTTCTCTCCGAGCTGCTCCACAGCACAACCTTTACGTGCCAAGAACCAAGTCATTTGTATTCACTCGCAGTCTGGGCAGGGGACCCGGTCGGCTCCGTCGCTGCCTGTCGCGGGCTCACGTGAGCACACGGTTGAAACTCTGACCTTCATCTTGCCGTTTCACTTGTAGACGAATAAAAAAGAAACTGCTTAACGTTGATTTGACATTTATGGATGAGATGTCCCTTACATGTACAAAATGATGACTGCACCATCCTGGATGTTCAGTAACGCTCTCCTCCCTTATGGGGTGGCAGAACAATGTGACTGGCCTTTAAAGTTGTTCATTCTAACAAAAACATTTCTTCTTTTTCTATTTCTAGCAAATTTAAAATGTTAGTGAGAAGGGCTTCAGTTTGCCCTTCAAAAACACTTGTATAGAATTGTATGGCTGAACACTTTATATTCCTCTTTCTACAGAGACAAATTTGTATAAATTTAATGTTTGTGGTTTAAGAAGGCTACTAAAGTGCAAAAGCACCATCCAAATGATTTTCTGTTTGCTTGCACAGACTTCTCTTTGGCTGGCAGTGTTAGCATGCAGCTGGCACAGAGGCGTCTTCCTAAACAACTTCTCTATTTTTAGGCTGTTGTAATGTGAGTGAAGTCATTGAGTGCTAATATCACACTTAAAAGTGAATCATGGAAAAGATCCTGAATACTGATTTTTTTTTTCTTCCTTAATTTCATGGACAGTGCTCAAAGTATGGAGGGTACCAAAGGGTGCCAGAGTATTGGGCTCTCATGGCTGTGACCTACTTCATAGTGTGAACCAAGACAAGTTTAACAGAAGTCTAAGTGCTGAAAACTGCAGCAAAAGCATCTTACCGGGTAGCTGGTCATCTTCAGAAGATCTCATTAGTAAAACAAACTGTAGCCTTATTTTGGTGTTTTATTGAAGTCCTAGGACAGGTTGCTCAGCAGCTTGTTGGCTGGTCACAGGTGATTTATCAGGCTGCACGTTACCTAGATGTCACTCACACTGCTCTGTGGAACATCTCATAGGAATTATGATCGAATGGCAAAAACATTTTCAGTGCCAGTGTCTCCGCAGGATGCGTCATAATGCCATGAGGAAGAGGTGCTCTGCATGGGCTGCATGAGATGATCTTTCCAGCAAGGACAATTTCATCTTTTGATACCGAATATGAAGGAGGTTTCTGTCTATCTATTTCCACTTCTTCCTGTTGGGCAGTTCTGGAGAATCTTAATTACCATGCATAGAGGAAGGGAATAATTACTTTCCTGAGCTGAGTATAGGTATATAGCTTTTTCTATTCCTTCCTTGCCAGTTTTCTTTCCTGCCACCTTTCCCTGCTCTGTGGCTGAAGCTTGAATATATGGAATACTCCGTCCT